TGTACTATGAATAGGAATGTAGGAAAAGTTTGTGGATAAGAGATCCAAGCTCAATAAATAGCCCTTTCTTCTCCTGTTTTATGGATGGGACAGTCAGTCCCTCGTACCGGTAAAGGTAAGATTTGAACCCAAATCTCCATATCAACCAGACAAAAACCTTACCAATTGATCTAGATTAGCTATTCTACCTCTAACCTCTGTTTTTCAACTAAGGGCTTGTTTTGCTGACATAATAATTGTTTTTGTTTTAAAAAGTAAAACCATTCACACCGATGAACACCCCTAAAAGTAAAACCATTCACACTGACAAACAGTTTTAATTGCATAAATAGCTAGGAGTAATTTAGGCTTCATTTTGATATAAAACATGTTTAAATAAGTGCTTTGGCGTTTTCTTATTTCTAACAACTCTCGTCTCACTCTTCATATTATTTTTAAATTTTAATTCTTGCAGCAAGAAGGTCGGACACTCGGACCCCATTGGTTCATAATTTAGCGGCCTCGACACGTCATAACATTTGTTTTCACGCGCCATAAAGAGTGTTGAGATTCCTCTCTACTTGCAGATGCTCAACACAATGGCTACCATTCACATTCACTTGGAGGAAAATTCCAAAACGCAGCCAACTACGGGATCGACTCACATTGGATGGATGAAGGTACAATCCATCTACACAGTCACTTGAAAAGGGTGCTCGACCAATTGTCTCAAAGAAATTGTGCTTGTAAATGCGTCTCCTTCTGTGCATGGAAAGGGTAACCCCGGCCACATGGCAGCCGGAGAAGGCCAGCACCACACAATCAATCATCTGGGTAAGGCCAACCCCCGGCCCTGGATTAGCCATTTGGTTAGCAGTTTTAGTGCACAAGCGTTATACGCTATTAAGAATTGACTCAAAGTGCTAGGTAAAATAGACGAGCACAATTTCAATTATTGATCTCGATTCTACTTTCAGCCATACCTACAATAACTCCCATATCCATCAATCATGTACAGGGTACAATCTGTTTGATTTAAAGTGGCCCCAATTGACACTATTATGTGTGTTATTAGGGTTGAGGGGAAGTCAAGGGTGCTGATGTTAAATTGTTAATCACGATTGGTTCATGGAATATATGGTGTTACACACAATATCATTTAATTTCTCTATGTTCTTAGAAGTAACCCCAGCTATGCCATTCTTATTTAATATTTGAAAGTCTCAATTATTGAACTAATATGAAGAACTAGTAATCCCACCAAAAAAGATATTAAACTAATATGAATAGCAGGACGAAAGCAAATTGTGAATTACTGATAACAAGATTAGCTGCAGTTATTCATGGCAGGATTCAAGAAAAGATTGGACAAACAAAAAAAAATGATACCCACTTCTCCCTTAAGTAAGAACCTCCGATTTTTCGTTAAACTAAACTTCAACCAAAAATAAAAAATAAAAATATAGAGCTGTCAATTGGATTGGGATTGGTACTTGTTGTTCAGAACCAATTTTATATAAAGGTATGCTGGTTTCTTATAATTTGTGTTATATTCTATATTTAAAAGGATAAATTTTATAGATAAGATCATTTTGGTTTAAAGCACTTGTCATTGCTATTAAAGTTATATCATTGAACAAGAAATTTCAAGTTGTTATTTTCATAGGTGATTATAGATTTTATACACAGATCAAATTAGGTTAGACCCAATTACCCCAATTAATAATCGGTTCAGTCCTGGGTCTATTTTATAGGGACTGGTCCACCCTGTTCCAACGAGACCTCACCTATTGACAGCTCTACAAAAATGCTTAGCTATTAATCCTGTAGTTCAGGCACTTCTCGGAAAAAGAGCGTCAAATTTCAGAGCCCCTGCAAGCAAAATCTCTCTACTTTCATAGCATATTGGCAATCAATTGCACATATCATAATATATGTATGTTAAATTTATAGGGAGATATTTCCAATGTGACTGGATTTCCATGCTTTTAAAGTGTTTGCAGAGATTTTGCTTGTAGTAATTTAAATACTCAAAAATAATTCAAAATTTAACGTGGATGATAGGAGTGTAAACAGATAATTCGATTTGAATCAGGCAATATCATAATTCAAATACAATTAGAAAATCCAATATTCAAATTCAATTCGATATCTGATGGGTATTAAAAATTGACGTTCGAATTTGAATTCAATTAAATATTCGATTCAATTTAAATTCAACCAATTAATTATTTCAGGTAATTAATAAATATTTTATTTATATGAAGTATATAAATAATTTAATTATTATATATAAATTGTATAAAACATTTACATATTTCATATATTACATATAAGAATTAAATAATCGATCAAATTCAAATATTTATCGAATCGAATCAAGTCATATCCAAATTAAAATCCGATTAACTAATCGGTATAAATAGGATATTCGAATTTGACCAATTACGATATTCCAATTATCTGAATTCAATTCGATTACATTAAATTCAAATTCGTAATTGAATTTTCGAATACCGTTGACACCCCTAATGGATGGTACGTTAGATGAGACCCATACTGTGATGGTTTCCAATTCCCTATACATAGGATTCTCTCCATCATGGCATAACACATGGCAGCTGTTACGATGGGGTTCCCTTATTGCAGCAGTTTGTATAAACATATATGCTATATTTATATGTTTACGTATGTTTGATTTAATTTACCAGTTATTTTAGCATGTTTTTAGTATTCAGTGTTATGCACCATTAGTAATTTCCCCCTACTCCTTTTTCTTACATTCTCCTACCTTTTCCTATATTTTTCTTCAAATCAAATATAGCCTAAAATGCTGATTGTGGGATTTGATTTTACGTCAACGCTGGAACAAACCAACTGACACACTAATGAGCCAGCCCTTCGTTGGTCCAGTTATTGTAGCATTGACTCTAGCCATTTTGCTTGAATGGTCACAACAATTTATTGAGCCCTTGTTCTGGTGTCAACGGGTCAGGTATGGACGTACATATAGGATGGTTCCATGAATGCAGATATTATCATTACATACTGGAAGTCTCCGGGCTTGGGCCTCTAACCCTTGCTTACAGAACAGACCCACCTTGAAAAATACATGTCACCAAATGCACAATCAGGTCTGTTAACTTCCATTGATAATTAACCCTTGAATTAAGCATTATATCCTTGCATAAGTAGGGAGTGTTCGGCAACATGATTAGTTTTGTTTCGAAAAACAAAATTGGTTTGGTGAAAGACATGTATTGATGACACCCTATATACAATTAGGCTATGCTTGGTTTGAAGGAAAAAGTAGGAAAAGGAAGGGATAAGTAGGGAAACCTATACAAGGTTTGTAAAGGTTTTTCTACCTTTCTCTTCCTCTTCCTACTTTTTCCTTCAAACCAAGCACAGCCTTAGGGTTGTATTTGACACTGCTGTTTCTGCCGAAAACATTTGTATTGATCAATTAAAACTGATGAGAGATATATATTGTCGCATCACATATAAAGAGTCGTTTCAATTAGGATGATAGTATCATTGAGAAACATCAATTTGACGTTTCTATAAATTTTCTCCCACACATGCATTTTCAAGGTACGCCTATTTCAATTATAAACATCCTTGAATAACAGTTGTATGCCAATTTGTATTGATCAATCCAAGATGTTTCAAGTAGAAACAGCAATGGTATCGAATGCAACCTAAAGTGTTGTTTATTGGCCTTACATAATGGTTGTTCATAAGTTAAGGTTCAAAATATAGTATCGGTGTCAAAGATGTGTCATAAAGGCGAATTAAAGATATGGATCTAGGATACATGTGGATCATACAACAAAAACTTAGGGCCCATTTGGTTTGCAAGAATAGGGGTCTGGAATTGGAATCAGAATTGTCATTCTGGTTTCAACTGTTTAGTTGGGTAGAATTGGAATCCCATTCCCATTCCTGGTGGAATGCATTCTCCTATTTGAGGAAATGTTCATTCCCTCTCCCTCTCTTAGTATGAGAATAGATCATATTCCGATTCCAACTATAAACCAAATGGGCCCTTACATAAATCTAACAAATGCATTAATAACACTTATTTAAGGTCCAGGTGCATATTTTTATAGTTGTGAAGTGTGAACTGTAGGGATTTGCTTGAAAAACATGGGGTAATGGTGAAAAGATTAAGGCATGCATGGACATGTATAGAAAACCAATATAAATCTTATTGATACTTTAAAACTTACTAAATTTAGGGGGTGTTTGGCAATGTGAGAGATTTTGTTTTCTAAAACAAAGTTAACTGCCACATCAGCAAAAATGTATTGTTTTTATTGTCATTGTAGTTATTTTTGTTTTAAAAACAATATCATTCACATTGACAAACACCCCTTGGTGAACAATTATTTTTCCTTTGTTTTTCTTTTACTTTTCTAGTTGATATGGATACAGAATACTCATCAATACATAACCAATAATGTTGATACATATCGATAAAGATGAAATGTCATAAAAGTAAAGCAATTCCACCTTTGCCACGACGAACCTAAAATCCCAACATGGTAGTATCAATGTATTATCACATCATATTGGTTTGATACTTCAAATATTGAAACAATAATGATCCATGTTCAAATTTTCAATACATATTGTATGGCATTGACAAGCCCTCGATATGCAAAATAAAGGCCTTCTGGGGTTTTGACCACTTTCAGGAATAGGCAAGTCTAAGACCGAACCCTCACCAATTTTGAAAAAAAAAAAATGGTGATATCAAAACACCCACGCAAGTTTATGCATATTGGATGTATCAATATTTTGAACCTTTCATGATTTATTGTGAGTAGGGTCACGATGGTTTGACTGTTATTAAGTTTTGAATGAGCTCAAACCATAACCCAAGCCCAATAGAATTGAAATTCTTCGGTTCTGGGAACCTGACTTGCACCCCTATCAATAGTCATGAAAGTTAGCTTTAGACCTTTAGTCAAAGATTATGAGAATTTTAGAAATTTTAAGAGGATGAGAAAGGTTGGATTAGGCCCAACCCAATCTGAAATCAACTTTCAGTTGGGCTAGGATTAGGGTTGGAGTTCAAATCTCAGGTTGGGCTAGCGTTGGCTTCAACCCGACCTAATCCGGCCTGACTTACAGCCATAATTATATCAAATTCCAAATACAATAGTTCTCTGGTACTTTTAATAACCATTTTATTCTTTACATCATTACATGATTGCCTGTCACTCAAATGGCTTCTGAGTAGTAATTACATGAACCCTTGAATACTTTGCAACCAATTTCCAGCAAGCCCCCAAGAAATCGCTCTCCATAGTGCTGGCTTCTCAATCACAACCGCTCCTACTTTAATATTTACTGAAATGTAACATGTACTTTATTTCTGTAATATAGACACGGATCGAATTTCTGATTCTGGTATGTATTGGATATACAGTAGTCGTTGGTCAAGCGATGAATTAGTTCCACCGTTTTGCATTTTTCAATCCTTTTGATTTTGCTTTTGCCTGTTGAAATGCCAACCTTCTTTGCTTCTTCCGAGCTTCCTTTTCTGCCTGTGCATGCATAAACATGAAAATCAGCATTTGCCCATATTTCCCTTCCATAAACTCAGTGCAAACTTCTAATGTCAATTTTTATCATCATTTCTGATACAGAGAATTAAGGATGGAGACATGCACCTTTGACATCTTAGACTTCGCCTTCACTTTAGGAGCCTTCTCCTCAAGCTCTGCCTCACGTTCGAGCTCCTTTTGTCTAGCATCAAGGTTCTTCTCTAGATAATACTGTCAAAATTTAAACATAGAATTGTCACATTGATTTGGCACTTTGTAATGGGCTGTTCTGTAAGAAACTCATTTAACATCATTCAAATTATACACTCAATTACGCATCTAAATATTTGGCAATGGGGAAAAAGAGTTAAGTAGCTATCAGCCTAATTTTGAAGCAAGGACAAGATTGCTGTACTTCCTGTCTATCATATACATGATATGCCTCGAGAAAGTCTACATTCCACTGAAAGACTTGCCAAGGTTCTCAGATCTGCTACCCACAAGACACTACAGCTGTGCATTGAGAACATCTCCCCATGAATGACAACTGAGATGTTCTCAATGTGTGGTTGTGGTGCCTTGTGGGTAGTGTTGTTGGTAGCATATCCAGACTCCTTGCCAACAGGGCCTTTAATTCAAGGAACTGATGATTGGATGCTTATAAGCCCATCAGGCCCATATTTTTTTCCCTAGACCCTGTGCCATCCTGTTCCATCACTTAAAGAGTGTGATAAATTGATAATTAGGGAAATCTAACCAAGTGAGTGATTGCACTGGCATATTCATAGTAAGCCTATAGAATATATTACAACCTACGACAAATGCAGCAGTCAGAACAGCTTTTCCTATCCAGATGTGAGAAATCCTATGACACATATCATGACAAGTGCAACGTTTTAAAGGAAATGCAATATGTTAGACTTACATTGTAATCGCCTGAATAATCCTGTAAAATGTTGTCATTGACCTCCACTACTCTGTTGACAATTTGCCTTATGAAGTATCTATCATGAGAAACTGCGATAACAGTGCCTTTGTACTCTGTAATTGCCTCCTGTTAGAAAATTAGATGCATTATCACATTATAGAGGAAAACAAAATTAAATATATATATAGGGTAACCAGATATGGTCATACCTCAAGCATCTCTTTTGATGGGATATCCAGGTGGTTGGTTGGCTCATCCAGAACTAATAACGTTGATGGTTTCACCATGAACTTGCAAAAGGCTAGCCGTGCCTACCCAGTCAGTACAGAAAAAGAAGTTTCTAAATAAGAAATGTGAACATGTAAATAAGTTGGATAAATGACACCATGAAGGTATATATCATAAAAAAGCTGGCAAAAGGAATTTATTGAAATAAATATACCAACATAGCTTGTTATATAACTCTAATCATCAAACCTACAACAATGGAATGTTCCAACTTCCAACTGCCATGTGTGGAACAAGAAGTGTTGTAAAGAGGTTTACTAGTGACAACTCTCTTGTTTTGTGCAAGATGGACAAGTATATGGAAATCAGAACTTAAAATTTACAATAGAAAAGAATATGGAAATTATGAGCATGAATAAATGAGGTTATTTAACAAATATATATTTATTGAGGAAAGAGAAAAAGAAAACCAGGTTTTCTATCAGAAATGAGGTTCGCATGGTAATTAGCACAACATGCATCTTATCAAACGTGAAAAGTGTTCTAATACACAATATTCTTTCTACAAAGTTAGTTATTTGTTCTAATTGAATCTTAGAGGCCATTGATAACAGATGAAGTGACTGAACTAAATGACTTGTTGCTTTGTTCTCTTGGCTCAGTTTGGAAAGAGTACAAAAACAAATATGTACAGTGCAAATACATACAAAATACAAGGTTTTTCACTACATATTTGTATTTGTACTCCTTCCAAACTGAGCTCTAGTGTACAAATTGTGCTAAAAGGTAAATGCTTCACTACAAAAGACAATAATGTCTTAACCCTGTCCTCGAAGTGTCATAAAGTTATTGACCCAATCACTTTATGACACCTGTGGCATAAGAAATGAGGATTAAAGTAGAGAATATTTAGGTTGCTCAAAACAGTGCCCACAGCTTTGTTCCACTGAAATCAACTTTAATCTTACTCATTTCAAACAATGATCTTAAATGTCTGATTATTGGGCTACCCAATTCACTTTTCGCTGTTCAGCATTCAAGGAATTAATTTACTTGGTGGGTGTCAACTTGTTAAGAAGATGACTCTTACTTCATTACTGTAGAGAACATTGATGTGGGCCCCACAGCTGTGGTCCCACTCTGTCCGTAGGGTAGAATGTATCTAGTCACAGCTGTGGTTATTTTGCTATTCTGTTATTTCTAGTTTCAGTTTTATATTGTTTGTTATTTGTTAGCAGTTATGATGTAAACAYCAAGGGCAGATATGTCCTTTCAWRTAACYAGCAYAACCTATATATATTAACTTAAAGTGGCGGCGGCAGAATATTGACATTCTGTTCTTCTCCTCAAAATCTGTGTTCTATTACTCTTCCATCACTCTTTCTTCTACATCTTCTTCACTTTCTCTTCTCATCGAACCTGAAATCTCTTAGTGATCAAGACTGAATAGCAGTCTTGAAAACCTACAATTACCAATGGAATTAAGTCTACCTCAATTGTTTTAACTTATAGAGGAAGAAATTGACAAGTGAAAATGAAGCAACTTTTTAAAACTGGTGATCAATCTTAAGACCCCCTTTTAGCTTAATTAGAACTGGTGAGTGTAAACAATACAGAAAAGAATATAATAAGTGGATTAGTTCAATTACCTTCTCACCACCACTTAAAAGGGACACTTTCCTATCAAGCATGTCTGCCTTGAAATTACACCGACCAAGAAGACCCTTTATGTCATCAATTCTCCAGTCCTCTGCAACTTCTTCCACTGTCTGGAGCACTGTTTTATTCAAATCAAGTGCCTCTGCCTGATATCATAGTATAGAGTAACCACAATGAATCATAAACCATGTACATCAGAATTCTGTGGAATTAACAGCCAAGGGAAAAAAATCCGTAATAATCCAAAGGATAGAATGCATCATCACTGAATTGACAAACCTGGTTCTGCTCAAAATAGTTGGGGAGAACATTATGCTCCCCCATTATCACTTCACCTCCTCTTGGCTTCTCTAAGCCCATAATGAGTTTAAGCAATGTACTCTTTCCACATCCATTTGGGCCAATAATAGAAATTCTCTCGCCTCTTTGAATTGAAAGATTTGCCTTTTTGAAAAGAACCTGGCAAGCAATGCACATGGAGAGATTAAAGATAAAACAAGTGAAAAATAATTAATCAAAAGATGATACTCATATAGTGTTTTTCTTTATACTGATAATAAATATTCCCACCTTATCCTCATATCCAAATTCTAGGTTTTTGATTGTAACAACAGATCTTCCACTCCTGCCACGCTCAGGGAATCTAATCTTCATTTGTTTCCGTTGGAATGGCTTCTCAACTTGGTCCTCGTCTTGAAGCTTTTCCAGCTTCTGTTAGATAGGAAACTTTCAAAAATTATTGGTCTAAACCCATAGATCAAGACTTTTATGGGTAATACTGGAAGGTAAAAGCAAGCATTCCAGAAACCTTGTGTGTTAGGAAATTAGAGAATCAGATCATCCAATAGCTAGCTCTTGTAACTTACAATTACATAATTACATTCAGAACTAAAACACAAGAAAACCGCAAAACTTGTTAAGAGGATGACTATAACATAGAAGGAAAAACAAAAACAAATGGACCTTTTTAATGTCTTGGGAAAACTACACTATTTTGCAATGTTGCCTCATTTCAATAATCTAGTGTACTTCATCACTGCAAAACTGATGAAATGCCACAACACAATGAAAATAGTTCTACTATTCTAAAGAGATTTATGACATTATTACTACCTAAATAAATATGTGAAAAAAAAAGAACTCCACCCAGAACTGAGATACTCATTCTCATTAACATTAAGAGATCAAAAGCAACTTTTATAAAAAAATTGAAAGCCAAAGTTACTAAGTGGAAAGCAATATATTCTTTGGTTATGCTGATATACCTTTTCTGCAGTGGATGCACGGCCGGCATTTGCTCCTGCACTCAATCTGTTTATTATGTCTTTTGTCTGCTCAATTTGTTTCTGCTGCTTCTCCCATGCAGCATACTGAGCTTCTACCCAGGCTGCCTTTGCAATAACATACTGAGAATAATTTCCCTCATATGTTCTGGAGACACCCATATCAGTTTCCACTATTTTTGTACATAGCTGATCAAGAAAAGCTCTATCATGGGATATGATGACCATTGGCACGCTTTGCTTGTTAAGATAATCTTCAAGCCACTCAATTGTGTCAAGATCAAGGTGATTAGTTGGCTCATCAAGAAGTAACAAATCTGGATCCTGTGGGTAATCATGTATTTTCAGAGATCAATGAAAACCAGTGATTATAGGTCAATATAATTTGTATACGTAATTTGTATTGCCAACTGTCCAAAATCAGAGCTCAGGGTCCTTCCCACATTAGGAACATGGGTAATTTTGGTTAATTGTAACAACAATCAGAAGAAGAAAATTACCAGAAGTTATGTAACAAGTACACTTAAGCATCCAGTAAATATGGTTCATTAAGTGAACCCAACTTTCAGTACCAAATAGTCTATATTAAATATAAACGCACCTGAAGAAGAATTTTGCCGAGGGACATCCTCATCTGCCAGCCACTGCTGAATGATGCCACCAGTCGATCGGAATCTTCCGTGGAGAAACCAAGCTCGGGCATCATCTTATTAATTTTCACATCAACCGCATCTAAATCAATGGCCTGAGCTCGTCTCTGAAGCAAATCCAGTTCATCCAGAAGTCGACCCATCAAGACCAAGTCGTCCACCGAATTCTCAAGCGCTTTCTGCACCTTCTCTAACCTCTCAGCAATCTCCATCTCCTCCTTGAAGGCACTCATGAACTCCTCCTTCACTGTCCTGCTAGGACAAACCTCGAATTCTTGACTCAAGAATGCAATTTTCATGTTCGGTTTCGCCTTAACTACATTCCCTGAATCGGGTTCTTCCTGTCCCGTAATTATCCTCAATTGAGTTGTCTTTCCTGCACCATTCACTCCAACTAACCCTACTTTCTCCCCTTTCTTCACTTCCCAGCTCACATCCTTCAAAACAGTCACCCCTTTATAGCTTTTACTAATGTTTTCTAGCCTAACACCCGAAGAAACACTCGAGGCACCGCTGCTCGACTGTTTAGTAATCCGATTCTGCTGAGCATCTTCAACCGAAGTCTCGGAGAACAGCGATTCAATATCTTCCACGGTGGTTTCGGCCTCGACGGCAACCGTTGATGCCGTAGCTGAAACTTCGGGGCATTTCTTTCTAGGGTTAAATACAGAATTAAGCTTAACTAAATTGTCAGAACTTCGCCTGGTCTGAATTAGAGACGCCGAAACTGGGCGAGAACGACGTTGAATACTGGCTTTCCGAGCATCTAAAATAGCCGCACCAGAGAGAAAACTCGAACGGAGATCGACAAACTGAACCTTAGTAACTAAATCCATGTTCGGAAGCTTTAACCGAAGAAAGTCCGAACGAAAAATATGTGAATATTATCGATAAATTAGGGAAATGAAATGAGAGAGGTCGAACTTAAATAACAAATTTGAAGTGGAACGATGATTGTGCAAATTGAATTTTATTGGAACCCGCTGAGAATTGCAGAGAAACTCTCAGCCCACTGAATGACGGAAACACCGAAACAGCATTAACAAAAAGAAGTTACGAATAAAAATACAAATTACTAAAATAGTAAAATGGGTGGAAAGGACCCTGATTTGGAACAAAATTACGAGATCCGATGTTGTGGGTTAAGCTTCTTAAGCCATCAAACAATTTGATGGAGCAAATTACCCCTATGCATTGGAAGTTCATTACTCACACTCACAGGAAATCAGGGATGCAAATCGGGCCGAGTTGGCATGGGTTGATATCAACCCATTTCAAATGGGTTTGTGTGAGAGGATGGGTTGGATCTTCGATGTTAAAAGTATACAAGCACAAGAGTATTCTCGTCATTTTCCTCAAGATCAGGGGGCATATGCTTGGTAGTGTGTTTATTAATTTATGTGGCGGAGGCAAATAGGGATAAATTTGATTGGAGAATGCGCGGGCCGCAATTAATCTTGACTTGTGGTGTTGAATATTGGCGGTCTTGCCAAGGAAACGAAATTCTCCATTACTTCAATGCCACGTGTACTCTAGTTGCAAGATTCTTAACGGTCCACGTGTAAAAGAGGACAAAGAATTATCTCTAATTGTATTAAGGCAAGCACCTTAAAAAGAATCTGCTGTGTCCGATTGGATACTCTGTAATCAATCCAACCATTCACAATCTTTCTCTTGTTCTTGGGATTATCGGGGCCCACCACCAGCAGAACCTGGGGCGGGTTGTCTTTGGTTCTCACTTCTCAATGTGATGACTGATGAGATTTTAGCCATGGACCGAGTAGTAGGGCCAATCCTACAGCAAAAGCAATGTGCAAGGAGAAGCAGAAGCCCAAGCCCAACCAGTCCTTCACCATGTAAAATTTTAAATGGACTTATTTGAAAACGTAGGAAGGGTTTTTAAGGAAGAACACCTGCACCACTTGGGCCCTAACCATTTCACCACGTGGATAATTCTGGGCCACTTAAACGAACCAAGTAAACGCCACTCAAGCCGCTAAAATTTCCCAGGTCGAAAAACCAAGCCCAAATGGGACCCTAACCAACGTCCCAGTGTCCCACCAAACCTAGGGTTTGTATTGAGTCAAACCAAACAGGTTGCTCCGGTGGGCAATAAAAGAGATCAATATGCTCAGTGTTCTCCACAAAAAAAAAAAGGACAACTACAATCAAAATTCAGGAGGTGAGTCTGGTGACAATGCAAATTCGCTATAGCTATTAGGGTCCGTTTGGTTTGGAGCTGGAATGGGATTTGGAATGGTCTATTCCCATATTCTGTTTGGTTCAAATAGGAATGAGAATAAAAATTGAAATCAACAGAAATGAGATTTCATTCTCAAGGGAGGAACAGGAAATGGTCATTCTCTCAAATGGGAAAAATACTATTCCAGCAAGAGTGAGAATGAGATTCCAATTCCACCCAATCAAACAGTTAGAATCAGAATAGCCCATTCCGATTCTGATTCTGATTCCGGACCCCTATTCCTGCAAACCAAATGAGGCCTTAGTAGGAGCCACACCAACATATCGGAGATCATTGCACCTGGGCTCAGAAGGTGGATATCCAATATATGATTCACCATCGATCCCCTCATTGAAGATTTCAACGAGCGTTCTCTTGATCCATTGCTAATCTAGAGTTATAAGTTATGACATTTGGGGTCCGTTCGCTTTTCGGTAAGTTACTTACTTGGGTAAATGTACTTACCCAGGTAATTGTTTCCTATGAAAGACTTACCAAGATAAGTTCATTTGCCCATGTTTTTTTTATTTCCCATTTAAATAAGGCAATGACCACTTTAGCCATAAAAGTCCATTATTAAAATAAGCATTTTGGTCTCATTCAAGTGTTGGCAACTTTTCTCCTAAGTGGAAAAATTATTTAACCACCTAGGAGATGGATATAGGAAAATAAACTTTCCCTAATCCCTACATAAATTTGATAAAATAACATAGATTTCTTGGTCAATAGAAATCAAAATCCCATTGACCAACTTTCCCCTTCTCAAAATCAGAAAAAAAAATAATAAAAAGAACGCCCCCTTATAGTTAGTGTTGTTGAATCATATTTTATTACGTTTCTACCTGTTTTCTTCTTGTCTTTCGGTTTTTCTTTTTGTTCTTTCTGTCTTGTGTTTGTGTTGGACGGTTGCTTGGTCGGATATTCTTTTTGTATCGTCGCTTCTATTCGTTGGTATAATGAATTGAATTTCCTTTCTTCTTAAAAAAAAAACAAAAAAAAAATTAGAATATCTGAAAACCCTCTCCATATTCATTTTCAACCAACAAAAGATTCACTACGTCAACTTTTAATTGCTAATTTAGTTTCAGACTTTCAAGTAGGGTACTAGTCAGGTGAGTTGGGCTGGGTTTTAGCTCAACCCATGCCAAATCGTAATAATCGGGTCTAAAGCTTGAATCCAAGGTAAAACCTGAATTATGCAACTCAAGCCTATCACGTACTAAAATTGGATGCACCGGTTGGGCCCCGGTCACGTGTGTGAGGTGCACGCATCTATATATATATAGTTTATTAAAAAATATTTATATATAGATGCATGTATATATACAAATATGCAACTATATATGCATATATACATGTATATAATCGGGCCATGATCAGTTTAAAAGGCCAAACTTTTAAACCTAGGCCCCATCTAAAGTAGGGGTGGATTCGAACTAAGCCGAGCTGAATACTTGGTTATTCGAACTTGGCTCACTAAAATTGTGTTAGGTTCGAGCTCAATTCAAGCTAGAGACTTGAGCTCGAGCTCGATTGTAAGCCAATTTTTTTAAAAAAATAAAAACTATATATTTAAAAGTAATTTTCTTTATTTTACATACAAAAAATAAGAATTATAAAAATTATTTACTATTATATATAAAAATATTATTGTGTATATAGTAAAAGTTATTATATATATAAATATCTATATATATTAAAATTGGACGGTCCATGTCAGCTTGTCTCTCCTTTGAGAGAAGCTATTTATCTATTTTCTCCTTTTTTTGCATTTTTCTTATTTTCTTTTGTTTTAAAAATATAAAACAATAATCATTGTTTTTCTTGATTAGATTAATAAAGTTGCACACTATTAGAGTGAGACATTTGGGTTTTCAAATGCCTCTTATTTTAATGCATGTATTATTACATTTAAAAAAGACATTTAAGAGAAAGAGAGACCTTTCAAAGGCCTCTTATTTTAATGCATGCTATTATACATTTAAGAGAGAGGGAGATAATAATAATAATATAAATCAAGGTTTAAAACCGAACCGAACAACGAACCGGTCAGAGGTCCAGTTCCTTCTGATCGTTTAAACCGAATAGACGACCCATTCTGACAAAAAACAAAAAATAATAATAATAAATAAATAAATAACAGCCAAAACCATTGGACGGTTCAAACGATTTGACCACTTGGGTCAACGATTTGCTGACCAAATCAATAGTTTTTGGCAAAATAACGATTTTGGGGTCAAACAGAACCGATCACTTGACCGGTTCCCAGTTTTACCGGTCCGATCCGGTTTTAAAAATCATGATATAAATCAAATAATATAAATAGGTTGAGATTAAACAATCAAAAAATTATTAATTTAAAATTCTATTAAACTTTAACTAAAAATAAATATTAACAAAACTTAGTAACTATTAAAACTGTGTTTCAATTCCACTAAAAAATCCAAATTAATAAACACTAATAAAAATAAGAAATTTAAATATAAAAATATTAATTAATAGTTTAAATACCAATAATTAATTAAAAATCCAAAAAATTCTAAAAAACCTAAACATATTAAAATAATTAAATAATTAAAAATTATTGAAATTAACAATATTTTATATTAATAAGGGTATTTCTTAGAAATAATTAAAAATTACAATTAATAGTAATTTTTTATTAAAAAATACCAAAATTATTAAAAAAATATCCAAGTTAGAAATTATTGAAAATATTGAAAATTAGCTGTACGTTTTATTAACTATGGTATTTATTTAGTCATTTAATTTATTTTTATTGAAAGTAAATGCAATTTAATTTTGTAGTGGCTAATATGCAAAAATAAATGATGAAAATACTGAAAATTATTCAAAAATAATCATATGCAAAAATTATTGAATAATAATGAAAAAACACCAAAAATTAATTAAAAATCCAGAAATTCTGAAAAACCTAAAGCTTAATCAAAATACTAAAAATAATTAAAATTTTGAATTAATTGTATTTTATTGCAAAAAATACTAAATAATAATGAAAAAAATAATGTATTTTATTTATTATTAGTAATATAATTAACAATAATTGTTTTTAAACTACAATAACTATAATTATAATTTAAGCTATAAATAGTAAAAAATTATATTTAATTACCAGAAAATTAATTAGCAATATTTCTGAAAATATGATAATTTCCAGAAATTTTTGTATTTTAAATAAATACACTAATTTACCAATTACGATATTTTAATAATTAATAATAAAAAGTAACAAATCATTTATAACTTAACCTAACCTGATTAGATCTATAAATTTGCAGGCTTAAACAACTATTTTCTTTTGAGTTAGGACTAGTTAAGATATGCACCATATCCACACATTATCAAGGATAATCAAATCCGAAGTCTAATTGGGTGACAAACTTTTGGAGTCCAATGATGGTTTTAGCGGATAGGGCCCAAGCTAAACAACCCCTAATAAGCTCAACTTGGAAGTTATGTGCATATATTATAAATATTATTATATAATATATAAATAACAAATTTTATATTAATGTATATAGAAATGTTATATATTTTTTATACTAGACTATAATTAAATAAAAATTTTAATTTGTAAAAAAACCATAGTTTTATAATTAACACAAGCCATTTTATCAATAGAAAATGTGCAAGCCTGTGCCCGAAGCTTGATCTGTACACAAAATGTCTTATTTTCAGTATACTTTTATAAACTACTACTTTATTAATTTAGTAATAATCTAATAAATTAATAAACTAATTTATATTTCCTAATCATAAATTGATA